ACAATTACCCCCCCCCCCCTTCGTGCATTCATGAAGGGAACTAAAGAGAACTAACGAACGTGCAAGAGAACCCACATTTTCCATAACAGAGCCACAATTTACACACAGAGAGAGAGAGGCAAGGTCTTGGCTATTTTCTGAACATAAAGGGAGAATTTCGAGAGATCCATAGCCTTTCACTCGTTTCCTTAAGATCAGACCCTGTTTTGATCTTGAGAAGAGTTGTAATCTCACTTTGTTGAGGTTATTAACTTCTGTTCTAAGTTTTCGACGCAAACAATAATAAAGAAAAAATATTATATTTTAAAGCTAATTTGCGAGGCTCATCGAGAACAAGCTGTCAAGGCAAAAGCATGTCTATTAAGGCTCTTTACAAATACAATAAAAATTCAAAATACTGATATATGCAACTATCGTAACATTCGAAAGAAGTATGATCTTACAAGATCTACTCTAAAATTCACACAATTAAACCTAACTATAGTTTTCTAATATACATACATGTAATTGCACCTTTAAGGCAAAGATAACTACTATTTATGATAGAGTTGAGCATTAGTTGTATACTTGTATAGGCTACAACAAGAAGGAGGATAGAGATATTATAATGAATTTCCAAATGATAAATGTCACAGCATTATCGATGACCTAGTAAAAGATTAAGTAATATTGCTTCTTCATGAAATAAACATATCGAAATCAAATATAACATTATAATCTAAGACAAATTGATAATAAAAAATATAGATATTTAGTTTGGATCCTCATTGAAAATGACACGAACAGAGCACATGTAACATTCTTTGATGCAATAGAAACTACTATTGGATGCACAATAGAAGAATTCATTACAAAGAGAGAATTTATTACAAAGAGAAAGAGTTAACTCCTAATTTTATTTAAGTAATAAATTAGAAACACAAAAAGTTTTATATACATAAAATTAACATTTGTTCTTATTGAAAAGAAAAATAATCAAAGTTCATATTCCAGAAGTTTATGTTAAATATCAAAAATATATTTAACTTCCTTATGAAGTTACACGAGAAAACAAAAGATGAAAGAACCAAAGAAAATATAATTGCATAAAAAATCTAGCTCCAACCTAATGTCATAATCGATCTAGATAATGAAGACACTACTCTAAAAGTGCCCAGAAAAAAATAGAGAAGGATTGAGCTTCGCTCAATAAAAAAATAAAGCAGCAGAAATAAAAGACAATGTTTTCTAAATATTTTGTAGAATAGTTTAATTTTTTGAGTAAAATTAAAAGTGTACTAGTGTTAGTATTAATATTTAGTTTATGGCATTTTTATAGTCTATCATTGATTAACAAACTCCATATTCTCTTTTGTATCATGTAGCCCACTTTTAATTAATCGTCTTGGCTTATAACGCTATTTTTAGGTGTTTTTCAATTTTGCAACACTATACTTTCTTAGGTCAAGCTTGATTTCATGTTATTTGCTTGATTTCATGTCGATTCAAATAACATAAAATTTTAAATTGACTTTGGATTATATTTATTTCGTGTCAATTCAATCATTAACGTGAAAATTTAAATTAGGTGTAGCTCACTTAGACAAACATCAAAGAAAATAAATAAGATCAAATTTTAGAGACACAAGTGAGCAAAAACTAACAAAGTGGAACTGATGAATAAATTTCATCAAGGAAATAAACTAAAAGTACTTAATCATGGTATCTAACCACGAGCAATGCACATGCATAAAACCTAGTCCCTATAAAAATCCCACTTTCATTTGTAACTAAAAATTTATATATCAGTTTTTTATAATAACTTATTGTATCATATTATAGATTATGGTTAATTTTGGGGCACAATGAGAGAATTAATGCGTGCAAATAGTCATAAAATATCAAGTATCACCTAAAGCATAATAAACCATTAGTAAATTCTTTTTATGGAGCGTTTGTTTTGTTTTGAGACAATATCAAGCTATATTCTATGAGTTCTCCAATAAGATTATGAAAATTCATGGGTTTTGTTGTACCATGGAAATTACTAAGTCTAAAAATGTGGTCATGTGATAATAAGCTGGACAACTCTAAAAGCATCCATGACCTAAGTGCTTAGATGGCCGACTCATCTCGAGAACCAAATCCGAGACAAAAGGCGCTCCCGACTTAGATCTCTCCATGTAACGCCCCGGGCTCAAGGGCCTGTTGGCACGTTCAAGCCATGAGACCTACCGAGAGCAACTCGATGTTAGCTAAAATCCGCTGCCAAAATGCTAGCACTAGTTGTTCTTAAGTTTTGGGTTTTTCTCTATTTAAACCACTAAAATTTCTTCTCATTAGTCTATGTGGGACTAAAGTGTGGGTATCAGGCGATATGGACTCTAGAGGTGACTCCTAAGGGCTAAAGAGGTGGCTCCCACTGCATCCATACGGTGTAGCACTTAGCCCTGTATAACACTTAGCTCCACACTTCTCGCTGGTGAATTGCTCTCATACCGTTTGTTATGTTGTGACGATGAGGACGTCATCTTTGTAAGGTGGGATGATTGCGTCACCCCAAACTTTAGTCACCCATAGACTAATGAGAAGAAATTTTAGTGGTTTAAATAGAGAAAAACCCAAAACTTAAGAATAACTAGTGCTAGCATTTTGGCAGCGGATTTTAGCTAACATCGAGTTGCTCTCGGTAGGTCCCATGGCTTGAACGTGCCATCGGGGCCTTGGGCCTGGGGCGTAACACTCCGGATGACTGGTTCCGAGACGAAACGCGTTCCCCACTCGGACTAGACGCCTTACAATGGTTTGACAAGCGACAACAAAAGGCGCAGAACATTCAAAAAATGCACGGCCTGCGCCCGCACTTCACCGCCAGTCACCATCAAGCCATTAATGCGGTGTCAGTCATTATGACCGTTCAAGTCAGAGCCTTCAAAGCTCATTGGACACGCCATTACTCTAACAGTCTCATAATTGTGCAAAAGACGACTCGGTCAGTCAACTGTCGGCATGTGTAAAGCATGTTTGAGCTAGCACTGCACACACCAGACTAAATTACCAACATGCCCCCGTAACTCCTCTATAAATAATGGTGATATCTTCCAAACCAAGGTAATGCAATTTTACATACAAAAAAAGTTGATTTGACGCGATACTCTGTTTTTCTTTTCAGATTAACTAGAAAATGTTAATGACTTGAGCGTCGGAAAGCACGCCAGAGGAAACAACATCCGGTGCCTCTACCCTCTATTATTTGTGTAGCGAAGCGTAGGTTTTGATCCACAACAGGAAGATCAACCATCAAGGGAGATCAAGAGACCCAAAAATTGAGTTCAACACTCTCAAATCACACATTAATTTTCTAATGTAAACATGTTTAAATTTGAATACAAGCGTATTCAAATCCCCATCAAAATAGATCTCCAAATCAAATTTTGAATCCTGCACCTGATTGGAGCCCATCCAAATAAGTCTCTGGCTCATGAACCTCTGCAGTCCTTTGAAGACCACCGCCGCCACCGGTGCACCAAGAAATTACTTTTCGCAAATAAATTCTTGCAAAGGCCAAAAGCTGCAAACTCCAAAATTAGAAGGGCCTAATCCGAAAAAAGGTCTTCTTATCCCCCAACCCTTCTTCGAAGAGTCTTCTTTTTTTGATCGGCGGCCGATCCCTCTTCATAAAATAGACACGAAAGCGCTGCGCTTTCCCTTCCGAAAAGTAAAAACCCTAATCTTGATCGCTTTCTCGCCGCCGATCGACCCAAAATCCTCCTCGACTCCCCAAAGCGCTTGTCAGTACCCTCTATTTCCATCTCAATTCCCTCTTTCCCCTTGAAAACTGGCTCGAATCCGTGGCCCCTAGGGTTTTCCATAATCAGATCTACGGTTTCGCCGCTTTCGCCCGAATTTTTAGGGTTTTTCATGGCGGCCGGCCGTCACGGGGACTATAGAGACCGCGACTCCGATTTAGAAGCTTCTAGAAGAAAAGACTACTGCAGTGACCGTGAGCGGTCAAGGTCGGAAGATCTCCGATCTAAGCTTAGGGTTAGACCGAGAGATGTCAAGGATAGAGAAGCAGTTAATGGGTCTTATCGCTCCCCGATGAGCAATTCGAGCGGTGGAAGCGGGAACGGCCATAAAAGGAGCTACCTTTCGGTAAAATCAGCGGACCGGGAGCCCGGTGAGCTCTCGAGTGGGGAAGAGGATTCTAGGGTTAACACTAGCGATGAGGTCTCGAGAGTAGAAGAGAAAAAGAGGAAGTTTTCACCTATTGTTTGGGATAGGGATGATATCAAGCAATCTGGTGCAGTTAGTTCGAGGAGTAAGAATGTCATGGTTGAAGGAGTTGGACTCCCGCCTCCTCCACCGCTTCCTCGGGGTTTTATCCCTTCAACTTCGATGGATGCAAAGGTTTCGGCTGATTCTGCGAATGATCGAGAGCCAGGGCAGGTCGAAGAGGAGGTTGAGGAGGAGTTTCCATTGGCTAGGCACATTTCTTCTTCTAGATGGGCTGATACTGATGAGCATGAAGAGTTGGATGAGAGAATTTTGCCTAAGAAGAGAAAAAACACGCCTTTGACTGAGAAGAAACCACCAAGCCCTGAACTTGGGGAGGTCGTCATGAGAGAAGGGTCTGAAGGAGCTATTTCAAAGTCGTCAGGTTCGAGTAGAGAGAATAGGGAGGGGAGTGATCGAGAAAATGAGGTGGATAAGAATGATTTCATGGATGTCGATATGGAACAGGTTAATGGTGATGACAGGAGTGATAGGATGTCAGACACCGATTCTGAGGATGAAGATAGGGCAAAAACTCCAGAGCCAGAGAATCCACCTCAGAGAACTATAAATATGTTACAAGGTTGTAGAAGTGTTGATGAGTTCGAGAGATTGAATAAGATTGATGAAGGCACTTATGGGGTAGTGTATAGAGCTAAGGATAAGAAGACCGGGGAGGTAGTAGCACTGAAGAAGGTGAAGATGGAGAAGGAGAGAGAGGGATTTCCTTTGACATCTTTGAGGGAGATTAATATTCTTTTGTCGTTTCATCACCCTTCAATTGTTGATGTTAAAGAAGTTGTTGTCGGCAGCAGTTTAGATAGTATTTTCATGGTTATGGAGTATATGGAGCATGACCTCAAAGCGCTAATGGAGACAATGAAGCAGCCATTTAGTCAGAGTGAGGTTAAGTGCTTAATGTTGCAGCTGTTGTCAGGTGTTAAGTACCTCCATGACAATTGGGTTCTCCACAGGTACACTGACTTTGGCAATGTAGGACATCTAATACACCCACTTTTTATTTTAGGAATTGTGATCTTTTTTCGTAGAAACTTGAAATGTTGTTTTTATTCTGTGCAGGGATTTGAAGACATCTAACCTTTTATTGAATAATCAAGGTGAGTTGAAAATTTGTGATTTTGGTTTAGCTCGTCAGTATGGAAGCCCACTAAAGCCATACACTCATTTGGTAGTGACTTTGTGGTACAGGTAGATCCCTGGACTTAGTTTTTGGTTACAGTAATGCTTACCATTGTTTCATTTACTCGTAAGGTAACCAAAGTTTTCTTTTGCAGATCTCCCGAACTTTTATTAGGAGCCAAGGAGTATTCAACTGCTATTGATATGTGGTCATTGGGATGTATAATGGCAGAACTATTAGCGAAAGAACCATTATTTAGTGGGAAGACTGAGTTTGACCAGCTAGATAAGGTACCCTCTACCTGTTGAGATCATATTCATTCTCTAGTTTTGATTGTTGTATTATATTTTTACAAGCTTTACGCTGTTGCAGATATTTAGAACGCTTGGCACGCCAAATGAGAAGATTTGGCCTGGATTTGCAAAGTTACCTGGAGTCAAAGTTAACTTTGTCAGGCAACCGTAAGTTCCTCGTGTCTTTGATGTTTATTTTTCATCTTACAAAGCGAATTCTTATGATCAACACGCTTTTCCCAGGCCTCCAGCTATGGGTGATCTTGCTCAGGCTTCCTGGCTTTTCTTGGTGGCACTTTCAGTTAGGTGATGCATTGTTCATGTTCGTTTTCGTCACTGAGGTCTTTCATTTTTATTCAGGTATAATAGGCTGCGGGAGAAGTTTCCACCTACATCATTTTCTGGACGTCCAACTCTATCTGAAGCTGGATTTGACTTATTGAATAAACTGCTAACTTATGACCCTGAGAAGGTAAGCTACTCTGAAAATTTCTTCAATGTCGAAATTTATGCTGCTTGGCCAGCTCCAGAGTATGCTAATGGTTCATATTAACTACATTCTTGCAGCGCATAACAGCAGAGGCTGCCCTTGATCATGATTGGTTTCGTGAGGTTCCTTTGCCCAAATCGAAAGATTTTATGCCAACATTTCCTGCCCAACATGCACAAGACAGGTAATTCAAGATGCTTTTTCCGAGCTGCTACATGAGAAAATTTACTTGTGTTAAATAATTTGGTACTCGCATCCATATGCATCTAAATTTCTGAAATGATATGCCCTAGGCGTCTGCGAAGAATTATGAAAAGCCCAGATCCTTTGGAAGAGCAACGGAGAAAAGAATTGCAACTGGGAGATAAGCTGGGCTCTGGAGGTTTGTTTGGCTAATTGAACACAAGCTGAAGCAGTCATGGCATCTCATTTCCTCAGTTCATTTTGAGCAGGAGCAGGAGTTCTCTCTGGACATATTTCTCTAAGGTGAGCCATGCACTGCTAGTGAAGTTGTGCAACTTGTGTTATAAGTGAGACAAGATTGTTGCTGTTGTTTATAGCAGGCAACCCTGATGGTTATGGGTAGAGTTAAGATATCATGTAACTTCCTCAGAAAAAGAAATTTTATTGCAGGCCCCTTTTGATCTCTCTTTTTTTTTACCGCCCTTTTGATCTCCTTCACCAATGATCATAGCAAATTCCTCCTTTATGCAGCCTGCAGCAGGCAACAGGTGTGGCATATTGGCTTTTATTTTTCTTTTGCACCGTCAGTTTCACTTTGAAGCTTGGTCATGTAACATATCTTTTATGATACGTTGTAAAAGATGCCTCACTGGATTAAATACCATATTTTATGGATATATTGCTATGCTTAATGGTAAACTTTATTTTGATTTCACTGTATGTTTGCAAGAGACAGATGCTGTGAAGTGGAGAGGCCGTTGTTTGCTTTCCCTAGAAGAGAAATTATGGATAGCTTTCCTGAGAAAAAGGTAATTACCAATTGATTCTCGTGGTTGTGAGGAGGGTGTGGATTTACACGTGCATGTTTTTGAGTTGGATGTTGTTGGTAACGTGACAACTGTAAGGCTGTCATATTTTTTTTAATAGTCTTGGTTAGAAACATTTACAAATACAGTTGATGCCATTTATGAGGAAGGGAGATCACAATGTCAAATAACTTACCTTAAATGCCTATGGATAAGTAATCAATAAATGCTGCACAGAGCAAGATTTAAGTATGGATTCTAATTCCTTGATAAGGTTTCAATTTTACCTTTCAACTGGAAGTTAATGCAGTTCCTTGCGTTGTACACATCAGGAATGGTTACTATTAAATTAGGCTTGACGCTTTTGTATTTTCATGCTAAGTAAACCAAAGGTTTCATGTGATAGGTGGGTCCCTTGCTTGATAATTTTCATTTTCACGATTGCTAACTGATAGTAGAAAATAACTTTAAATGATTAAAGATATCTTATGATGTTGCTACTTGAAGGAAATATTTCTAGCTTAGTGAGGAAAAAAATGAGTTAACACGTCGTGAACACAGAAGCAGAGTTTGTAACTTGAAACAAAGGATAGTTAGTAATATCTACTAGCAGCTAGCTAATCCCCATAAACCACCAAAATCTCCATGAATCACTAAAACTTCAAGCATGCACAAGAAAGAAAAAAGGGAGAAAAAAGGAAAAGAAAAAAAGAAAAAAGGGAGAAAAAAGGAAAAGAAAAAAAGAAAAATAATGAGATAATAAGGAAAGAAGGGAATAAAGCAGAATAAATGGTCTAATAGTAAACCTGAACCAAGCAGGTCATAACACTTGCGACGTGGTGTGACAATTATGTTATGTATACAAATCTTTTGTTGGTATAGCCTTAATATTTGTCAATGGGTGTTGGTATCATGCTTAAATACTAGTTCTAATGTTTATGTTATTGCTTCTCATGATCGCTCCATTCTCTCTGTTCTCAGTTTATTGTATGGTCAATAATTAGACAGAAATTATTTTTTATGTCTGTTATGGCGATTTGGTTCATAGTTTAGAAAGTAAAACAAGCTTATTATGTTTATATTGCACATGTCTGCAGTTTAAATTCTGGCTTCTGCAAAGAAGAAGCTTTGGTTGTTCTAACCTGATACATTATCTACCTAGGATTGGCTATGGCCAAATCTTTTTGCTTCCAGAGGTGCCTCTTGGTCAGTATCTACTTAATATATTGTCTTATTTTTCATTTAGGAGAGATGTATCCTGTCTCTAACTTACCATTGACCCTGACATTTTTCTCTTCTATGTGTCATCTTTATATATTGCTATGATCTTTTTTTTGCCTTTCAGCTTTGCTTGTCCTGAATCATTATCTTGTTTCACCAACCATGATTCTCTGCCACATAAAATTTGATTTTCTGTCTAAAGGCTATGTGCCAAAACCTTGGGTTTTTTCATCGACCAATAACCAGAAAGTCTACATCCAATTCTGTGATGTCAACTTGTCAGCTTTGATGCAATGCATTTAATTATATTCGATTTAAATAATCTATTTACAATTAAGTATTAATATATTTAGCATTCATTGCGTTTTAGGATTTTCATGATTTTAGGGGCACACTTCCTGAGAGACCTTTGCTGTGTCCACAAGTGCAGAGCTGCAGCACTTACTTTTAGGGTTTGGGGTCTTTGGACTGACAATGAGATGGAAAAACTTTGCGAGATAAAAGAGAGAGAAGAACAGAAGGAAGAAAACATGTAAGTAACTGGAAGGAATAGAAGGAAAGGAGGAAAAGCCGGTGATAAAGAAGGAATGAGAACGTATTAATTGACTTTTCACTGATCACCTAATAAACGATAAAAGCTATCACTTAGCCTCTAACTCTCAACATCGGACACTTTTGATTGCAAATCATAACTTGTCAACAAAATAGGAGCAACATCAGTCTTTTAATTTGATCTAGAAGAAAGATATAAAACTGCTCATATTTGAGTATAATGTACATATGTTTTTTCAGTAGGAAAAAATGTATAGGAGCTGACAGCCCATTTGTAAAATGGGCTGCCAAGCCTATGCCATATGAGCCCCCTGCTAGTCACATCAGTGTCGGGCTTACATGACAGTGGGTTCGTAGCCCATTTTGCAAAATGTGCTCTCTGCTCAGCCAGTTTCCTCTTTTTAGTATTACTGTAGTTTAAGCAATTCATAAGGTGCATATAATTTTTTTTAGCTAACAATTTTTCTTAAGCTGCAACGTGGCTTTGTTAACATATACACCTAAAAAGAAGCATATACATGGTTGGCTATCTAAATTTTGGTTGGGTTCCCTGTCCAGATTTATTATTCACGACATTGAATGCTTGTCTGTGTCTGTATCCTTTCATTGTAGATTGATTTGCTTGAGGAAAGTATTATCCTTTTTGTTGCTCTTCATACATGTTTTGCTATTACATATTTTAGCTGTTTGTAACATGATAAACTAGAAGGAGAGGTGGAAAGCCTAGTTGATGTGTGCATCTAGTTGCGTGTAGGTTTGTAGTGGGCAGATAAAAATAAAACGAATTATGAGTCTGAACACATTAGAAATTTGCTTTTCTGTCTCTCCTATTTCTTCCTCGTAAGTAGCAATAGTATTGAACTTTATGATTTTGGGAGTTCACGTGTACTGTGAATAAGCATGAATCTAATGTTACACCAGCTAAATGTTAATTTTCAGCCTTTGCCCTGAATGTTTAACTTTGGCTTCAATTCTGTCGTATATGTCAAGGAAAATATTAAGTGTCATATTATTCATTCTTTTTCTCGAAACCTTCATCTTCCCACTTTACCTTTCTTGTTGCTTCTAATCGACCTTTAGCTAGAAGAAGTGACCTTTTACTAAGTGAAGCCTGCTGAGTTATCGTACAATTCCTTAACACTGTTTACTTTTGTATGAGCAGAACACCAGCTCTTCGGTGCTCATTTTCTTATGATCTTAAGTAGTCTTCATTGTGTATTGATGCTCTTGCATCTCTATTATGCTTATTGCTTTCTCTATCTTCACACACACTCGTATCTTACTCATTTATGCAATTATGTGTTTTATTCACCTGGACTGGCCACATACATGTCTCAAGTATTTTTCCATTCTTTTTCTCAAAAAGATTTGCCAGATTATTTAATTGGTGAATATCTTTGCCTTTTTGTTTTGATTATGCCCTGGACATCATTGCCATTTCCATTGCGATTCTTGAAATGCCCTATGCATATGTTACACTTATCCTGCCTGCTAAGGCCTCATTCTTTATCTTTCGATAGTTTTCTCCATATTTCAAGTACTGGATACTGTCTATCATCATCGTGACAATATGGTCTATAAGGCACCATACGAATACATAATATTATGTAAAATAAATAAATGTTTTGGTTGGGAAAAAAAGTAGTAGTTTCCAGGTTGGGAAAAAGAGTTGTAGTTTCCAGGCTCTTTGGACATAATACAACCCGATAGATGCAACAGTATTTGTCAACCTGGTTTTGGTCGCTATTAGGTCTTTTGTCTATCTTTGCCATTACAAAGGAGGGCTTGTTAGTAATAAAAAAGAAGTCTGTTGCCTTGCCCAATAGTTTCTTCTCTCTTGCTTTCGCCCAATAGCTTCTTCTTTCGCTTTGTCATGTGGCCAGCCTCCTGTTTTTGAATCTAAATCTACTGAACTAGGAGAAACTAAGATTTTCTCTGTTTCTGGAGTTGAATTGCCGCTTTAACTATGAGTGTCTTTACAGCGCATAAGGTGCTTAGATCCGTTGTGTTTTATATTTTACAACTACCCTCTATTGTAGAAGTAAAATTTTGTCAGCGGCGATTCCAGTCAAAAGTGTGGGTTGCAGCTTGAGCGAGCTTTCAACTTGGTTACAGTAATTCCTGACCCCCTCTCCCTCGTATATTTGCTGGTATGAGGTACCTTTTCTTTTTCTTTATTCACTTCACTTCACATTGCAACTTAGCCGGTGCGACGAGTGGTGCGTTGTTGCTATAAGTCTATAATTGCAACTTCGGTGGTGCGACGAGTGGTGCGTTGTTACTATAAGTCTATAATTGCAATGCAACTGTCAATTGCATTCCATTGATGTTACAGGTATTTGGTTTAGTTAAAAAAAAAATCCAGTTTGCAGCTATATTTGTAAACACGACTGTTTGATTTTGGGAGTTGCAATCTAAATCTCCTTTCATGATGAAAACTTTGTGACTATGACCTATGTTTTGCAACGAACCAACTGAGGCCTTCTCGCAGCTATAACTCCATTTGTTAGTGAAACAAACGATTGAAACTAGCTCAAAATATTCCCATTTGCAATGACGAACCCAACCACCCTCGAGTGATCGGGACGCGGCCGTAACTCTCAGAGGCCGCGCCTGCTGTTAAGGTCTGATTTCTTCATCATCTGTTAAATAATCCAGGGTTAGACATATCAGGTACCTAGCATGACGCTTTTTCCTGTTTCAAAATTGCGGATTTTATAATATGTCGATAGTTTATTGAGTTCTCTCTGTTTACCTCTGCTACTAATAATGACAGCAAAAGGGGTTTAAATTGTTAGTCCTCTTTCTAAGCTAAATTGGCTACGACTACCCGAGGGAACTCTTGGCTCAAAGATCAGAATCCATCTGTTTGTAGATATAATGTCTTTTAATATGTTAGAAACAGAAATGTACTTGAAAGACACCTTGATGGTAACTAAACTTGCATGGATGTTCTTGTTTGATAAATGGTTAAATTTGTACATAATCCATCTTGGAGGATTGAGATGATGCTTGTGCTTCTTCTTTTCAAATGCAAAGCTTTGTGAATTTACAGTGCGCTCGAATTTTTTAGGGAAAATTTGCAAAATAGACCGTTTTTATAAAGTAATTAG